TCTTCATTGAACTCATTCTCTTATGATCTGCCTTGTCTGTCCCTTTAGTCACTTCCAGAGATTTCTGTCTACATGCTGTCTTCTGTCAAGTCCATGCTTTCTTTCTAATCTTAAACACAGATACTCTTATAACGCAGGGCATATTGTTTTTCTTTTCCTTTAGCAATTTATATTAGAAATGGTTCCACATCAGGGTATATAGGGCTGCCTCATTCTTTCTAATGGCTGCATAATACCTCTGTATAGCTTTGTCAAGCACACACACCAAACAAGGTGAGCCCAAAGCCAAGACGTGACCGACCCACCTGTAAAGGTAAAGAAGCCACTTGTAGATTCAGATGGTTTGTGATTTACAGAGTCAACAAAGGCAATAGTAGCTAAATACTGCTGCCCACCTGTCCCACAAACTGAAAAAATGATGCTTAAAAAAAAAAAAAAAAAAGAAAAGAAAAGAAAAAAAGGGAGAGGTCAGATGACCACAATATAAGCTGGGGGTTTCCTTGTTGCTATTGCTCCTACTCTAGTTATTTCAGTCACTAAATAAGCAGTTGTATTATGTCTGGCCAGTCCTTTAATCATGTATGAGTTTTAAGAGAAGTTCCTTCAGCTAAGCAATTCTTGATGACACAGTTCTATTCTGAAAGTGCAGGGCATAAGTGCTTCGTGCCTTATCAGAACCTAGGAGGCAACGAGAAACTGTGTCATGACATCCTCCCAAGGGACAGGTGCGGCGAATGGGAAACAGCCTTGAAGCTTCTAATTGCAGGCCTCCAACTTCTGTTGTTTCAGAAAGATCATAAAGCAGGCTGTCAAGACTCAGATCAGCTGTGCAAAGCTATGGTTGTGTGGCCCATGTAGATAGTGTGAGGTCATCAGGGCACCATGGCAGAGCTGTTCTTTAAAGAGCCTAGCATAATTCCTTTTTTTTTGTTTGTTTGTTTTAAATTATTTATTTATTTATTTGACAGAGAGAGAGAGATCACAAGCAGGAAGAGAGGCAGGCAGGGGTGGGGGGGAGCAGGCTCCCTGCTGAGCAGAGAGCCTAATGCGGGGCTCAATCCCAGGACCCTGAGATCATGACCAGAGCAAAGGCAGACGCTTAACTGACTGAGTCACCCAGGTGCCCCTAGCATAATTCTTAATTATGAACCCCCTTGTGAAGGACTTTTGGGGAATTTCCACTATTTTATTATTCCTAACATATGTCCTATTGCATACATTTACCTATGACCATAAGATAAACTGCTAGAAACAGAACAGTTGGGTTGAAGACCACATGTTTACAATTTTGAAGACATTGTTCTTTCGTTAATGTAATATTAATTACCATCCCACTAGTAATGGATGAAATAACTCTGGTTTCTCCACACCCATGCCAACATTGTAACATTTTTAGTCTTTGCAATCTAAGTGAAAAATATCACTGTAGCATGAATTTTCGTTATTTTTCTTAATGAGTGCAGTTAAGCACCTTTTCATATATTTGAGAGCAATTTGTACTTCTTACATCCATTTTCTTTATTTCTCCTTTAAGTTATCCATTAATAATTATTTGTAGGAGATTTTTACTTATTAATTGAATTTTGAAATAATTTTCTAAGTTACTGGGGTAGTGATATCACTATATATGTATTTTTATGGAAAATTTTGTGGAAGTTTTTTAAAAAAATTTATATGGGTATTTTTCATATATTTTACTTCCAGGCTTCTGAAATTCATGTCAGACTTAGAAGAACCTCCCATAATCCTTGATTTAAAAGTACTATCTCAGGGCACCTGGGTGGCTCAGTGAGTTAAAGCCTCTGCCTTCGGCTCAGGTCATGATCTCAGGGTCCTGGGATTGAGCCCTGCATCAGGCTCTCTGCCCTGCAGGGACCCTGCTTCCCACTCTCTCTCTGCCTGCCTTTCTGCCTACTTGTGATCTCTGTTTGTCAAATAAATAAATAAAATCTTTTAAAAAAAGTACTATCTCATATTTTCCTTAAAATTTTGATAGAACCTACATTTGAAGATATATGTACACATATGCATTTTTAAATGCTTATAAGGTTTAATCTAACCTAGCTTTTTAAACTAAGCATTATATATATATATATATATATATATATATATATATATATAATTTTGTAAAATGCCTTTTCGTATATATGATGTGGCAATATGCAAAATCATGTATTTAAAAAAATTTTTAATAGTTCTGGTGCCTGTAAAATGGCTATATAAACAGGATCACTGAGCACTTTTGATAGGAAAAGAATTAATGGATTATATGAATCTCAGAGAAATGGGCCCTTATTAAGATCCTAAAAATATCTCTTTTCTAAAATCCATCTGCTCCAGACCAGAAGTGAAGCAAATTGCTATAGTCTTTTTCACATGCATTTGGAGAAAATCATATAGGCTGAGTGATGTGAACTAAGATGACATTTCAATGAGAAGCAAAGGATCTACATTCTTTCTGCTTCTTTTGATTGATTGATTGATTGATTGATTTTTGACAGAAGATTCCCAGCCCTAGGTGGGAAGAGAAACAAACAACTTAATATATCTTAATGTAACAAAAGCCTTCTCCTTTCTTTTTTCTCCCAGACAGGCATGATGTCATTCATTGATATCCATAGGTAGTCTAAGATGGAGAGATGAAAGTTACCATATTTTCTTGCAATTATTAGCTCATAATGTTAACATTTTAAGAGGAATTTTGATTTTCATAATATAATGAACCTTGGTATAAAACTTGAAAGGCATAACTTTAGAACAGCGATGTTCTAATAGTCAGTCACAGGAACCCAATGGCCTGATTTTAGTTTTCCTGCTAGCTGGTGGTATCCAGGGTGCATACGGGCACATATGATCCCATGACAGAAATCAAATCAATAACCTAGATTCTTATTAATAGACATTATTACAAAATAATCTCTAGACTTAGATATTTTATTTATCTTTATTCCTGCCAATAGGGTGCTATTATTGCTTCTGGGTAACTGAAATTAAGAGTTTTCATTTCCTGGATTTATACAACTAGTTAGTGGTAAAGTGGCAATTAGAACTCAAGACTCCCATTCTACTGCTCTTTCCTTTACACATAGTCTTTAAGGTGAATCTGCAAAGACTGGAGAACTCCAGTTGTTCTAGAAACTTCTCCCAACATGTAATTCTCATGTTCTAGTACAGTCAATTTCTAATGTCACCATTAGAGTCAATCCATCTTCTTATATGGTCATTGGGGAAAGCTGGCTGGGCACTCTGGCAGGGGCTTGAATTCTCTGAAACAGAGGTTACTTCAAAGGAATTCTCCAAGACATTTCTTTCCTAGGAGACACTTTTTATAAGGCAACGTGAAATCCAGGCATTTCCTAAAGAAATCTGTTCCAGTGACATCACTGGATTTCATGTCCCTCAAATGTTGACATTCATTTTAATGCCACTCAGCTGTGATCCCATAAACATTCTGTACACAGGAGAGATAGGTAACATAGGCTTGAAAATAAAGGTTAAATAAGGCAACTGGGAGAATTTTAGAATCATCTCCTAGGTGGGTAGAGTTACAGATGATTTTCTGTTTTCTGTTGTCCTCAAGTTCATGAAAGATATCTCTTTTAATATTATGTGTATTCTTTATTTTTTTCTTTTTTCAATCACTTTCAACCAGTTTAAATCACTTAAACTTGACAAAGAGAGATGATTGATATTCATAGATTTCCAGTTATCAGCAAATAAAAAATCTACCTGGTGTCTTTGAGTCAGAATGGCAAATTCTTTTTTGAAGTTAATGAATGGCATAATTTATCAACAGTATGCTAAGCTAAAGGTAGGTTCAAAAGAGAAAATCTTTCTTATAGCTCATGATGGTGATTGATAAAAAGTAAGTCAGACACTAATTTTTCAATTATCTATCTCCACCCCTGCTGTTCTAGAATGTACCCCACTGGTGAGTGGAATTGTCAACTAACAGATTTTCAGATTTTCCCACCATCTGCCCAGCAATCTCCTCCCTCCATCTCCCCACAAGTCTAAGCTACAGAGTAACTATTCTAAAATAGTACTTTTCAAATGGTAGGATGTCACCTGGAGGATTTCTAAAACAAATTTTTGAGCTCTTCTCCCAGAGTTTCAGATTCAGCAGGTTGGGGGGGAGGGCTGACTATTTTCATCTTTAACAAATCCCCCAAAGGATGCTAATTGGGCTGACTCTTAAAACAGACATTCAGAATTGCCATGCCACAATCCTGCAAAAAGTCCTATAAATTCTCCAACACAGGAACTCTGTCTCAGCCAACTGTGTATATTTATTGCCTAGGGAAAAAAGTCTGATACAGAGCAGGGCCAGGTTTGTAGAACTGAACTACTTGCAAAGATGGTTAACTTTTGTCTGACGGTCTGCTGAACTTTGTGCCATCTTCTTTGTGTTGTAGCCTCGGTGCATTTCTTGCAGTCATGCAAGAAAGCAAGAAAGAAATGACTCTTCATGTATGCTATAAAAGTCTGCATAGAAATAAAGGTTAACTACAAGTGCTATAGTGTGCATTTTAGATTCCTTTGGATTTTATTTATCTCCCTTTTTTCTTCAGGAATATGTGATATATAATATTATATTAGTCTAATTTCTGTATTTTTCCAGCTAATTAAAATTGATTTTTGGAAAAAAAAAAAAAGAACAACTGAGTATAATGACAAGATTATGCAGTGATACAGGAAGGCTACAGGCAGGAAAAAAATTTTTAAGTGAAAAAGGAGATTTCCTGATTTTAAAATGCACACAATTTGCTGAGGTCCCCTTGTTGCCAAGGCACTTCCCCCCACAAACACTGCTCAGATTGCCTTCTTGGACTCTTCCACTGAAGGCTGTCTGGGTTTAGACGGAGAAGTTGAGCCCAGGGTAAGACTTGCCATGGCCCCCCATCTTTTCTCAATTGAACATTCGTTTGCTGATTTTTTTTTTCTTTTTTTAACTGATGCTGAGTAAGGCGCCTGGGGACCTGCAGGGAGAGTCAACTCACCTCATAGTCGATGTCTAAGGCATCTGCCTCGCCCTTGGTGCGGAAGTGCTGTGTGTGTTTGTCCACAGAGAAGTTCACCTGTTTGCCAACCCGCTCAATGAGAACCGAGTGCCAGTGCTGATCATCCAGCAGACTTCCCAGGGTGGCTGAAGGTGGGCTGCTGCTGAGCCGAGGTTTGCTGTCATCTGTGAAGGGGAAAGGAAGACTGGATGGCATTCGTGCCCAAGGGCGGCCTTGCATGCTAGAATATTCTGCAAGCAACGCCAACTCTCTTTATCCTAAAGGTAGAGAATGACTCTCTCTCTCCAGGGCCAGAACCCTGTTGGGTTTGTAAAGGAATAACATATTCTGTCCACAGATTTAAGAAACAAATTCTAGGTCAGCTGATATATACATCCCCTTCTGGATATGAAAGGATATACGTTCAGAACATGAACAGTTAAGTAATAAAATGCACCATATCCTAATATCCATCAATAATATTGAAAACAGGGAATATCACACTTACAAATAATATATATTCTTTGTGTTTGAATGGTTCTTGAATGGAGAAAATGAATCTTGACTTATGCTTTGGAGGAAAAGTAAATTCTGGATAAGTAAAGGGAAGACAGTGGGCACCGAGTTAGGCAAGTCTGAAGGCAAAGGCAAAGATGAGGAAAGAATCATTTTAGCTGCAATTTTCAAGTGCCTACTATATGAACAGCACTTAAGTTAGAAGCTTATACCCACCATCTTTAATCCCCCAGGGGAAAGTTATTATCTGATTTTCATGAATAAAGAACATCTGGATCAGTGAGGTTAAGCGCCCATGACCCAGGGGTGCAGCAAGCATTCAAATCCAGGTCCTCTGACCAGCCTTGTCACTCTGCCTGTGGCACGGGCCATATGCATAGATTCCGTCTAAACTGAAGACACCCTAAACTTGGAGTGAGAGATTCACCCTAAACTTAGGCTGTGAGAGATTCAGGTGGAGAGGCACATTTTTCTATCAAGTCAGGCTAGTTCTCCCTCCCCTCTGCCCCTCCTCCAATTTTATGGAAGTTCCTGCCAGTACCATTTTGTCAAAAAGATTACAGCATTTTCCCCCCTTCAGAATAGCTCAGATTTAGCCAAATGAACAGTTAAATGCAATTAATTAAGACTTACGTGTAAACTTTCAAGTTTGTGAATGTTTTATTGTTTGGTCCCCTTAGAAACTGAAAGCTAAATGTCTCCCACTTCTCTCCTAAGATGTGTTTTACCAGAACAGCTCCAACAGTCTGCTCAACAGTGTGGCATTAAGGAGGCAGGAGCTGCCATTTTCCCTGTAGGCTGCTCACTCCCACCTCCATTATGGCCCTGTGGCACTGTTTCCTGCACTGAACAACACTTGGTTGCTTCATTCGGGGGGAGGGGGTGGAGGGCGTCAAACTTATTGTAGATGAAAAATGATAGATGGTGCATTCATTGCTGACTTTTTTTCATTGTTTATTCAAAAACTTTTAAGTTCTTGCAATTAGTCAAATTATGCTAATGATTAAAAGTTAGTTCTTCTTTTTCTTTCTCCTTCCTCCTTTCCCTCTCTCCATCCCTTCCTTTTGTCTCTCCCTGCTTCCTTCCTTCTTTCTTCCTTCTTTCCTTGCATAAAAAAGATACTGTGATATATAAAGGGGATAAAGGAGTTAAAAGGTACATTCCCCTCCCCAAAAGTCTTAATGGAGTCTCTCAATAAGTAAATTGATAAAAAAAGTGTGCTGGTGGCATATAGTGTTTACTGTTAGGAGCCAAACAAATGCAGGGTAGGGAGTTGTGAAGCTCCCATAGAGCAGTGACAGGTCTGAGATTTGGCTGGAAGAAGGAGCATCAGCACACAGCCAGGAGAAGCCTGTGCCAGGACTCGGAGGTGCAAAGAAACATGGTGGGGGAGTCCATGTAGTGGTACTGTGATCATGCCAGCCTGGCTTTTATCATCCAGGACTAGTGCACTAGTGAGTGTGAGGTAACTGTGTATTTTATTTACCTTTAAGGAAAGGACATCAGATGA